TCCCCCCTGGTGGCGGGGCGCATTGGGCGCTGGGTTACGGGGGGCCCCTTTAGATAAGACGGGGGCCCCGGGTTATTTCAGGGCCCCGTCGTGGTCCACCCCCTGGCGCCTCAATCGTGGTCAACTCGGTCTTCGTACCGGTTCGGGCCCAGATGAAATATCTGGGCCTAATCCTTGGGAGGTGGCTCTTCGACGAGCACTTCCGACAGCTTGCTCCAAAGCTGGTCGGCGCTGCGACTGCCCTAGGGCGACTTTTGCCCAATTTGGGTGGACCCAGCGTCGCGACAAGACGGCTGTACACGGGGGTTGTCCGGTCAATGGCACTATACGGTGCACCGGTGTGGGCGGCGGCTCTGACCGCCCAGAATAGGGCACGCCTCTGGCGCCCTCAGAGGGGTAGGGCCGTGGAGGCTCTCCAGCCGGCCATCGCCGAGTGGGCAGGGCGGCAGCACGGGACCCCTCCGCCGCCGGCGAACCGGGCGGCGGAGGCGCGCCTATCACCGCCTCATGCCGCCTGAGTGTGGCCGCGGGTGGACGGGGTGGGTTTCCCCTCCACCCGCATTAGTTTGGCCAGGCCGCGAGGGGGCGGCGTCCGCGTGTGCCGGACGTCGCCTAAAGAGAGGAAAAAAGTTTTGAGACGGAGCCCGCACCAGGAGCGGGTGGCGCTAGGAGGGGTCCGGATGTCTTAATAACAGCTGTTCCCGGATCCCTCCTGTTACAGGCGCAGAGTGGCACACACCGTGTGGTTTTAGTCGGTCCGAGTGCGACACACCACACCCGCCGCAAACCCCGGTGGGGTGACGGTCCGAGGGGATTTCCACACGTTAAAAAAAAAAAAAAAGGGTTTGTGTCAAGTTTTTATTCTCTCTGCAGTGCTGTTGTCCTGCGTAGTTCGCTCCCTTAGTCGCCTCTTACGACACCACGGGATGAATAGGTATTCTTAATCCGTCAACCACACGGACCCGGACCGGAAAATGAGTTTTAGTGCTCGATTTGCTAAGTGTGTAATGTGTGTTTTAAAATAGAGATACTTATTAAGTATGACCCCAGGGCCTCAATTCTGCTTTTATGTTTACGAGAAGCCATGTCATACCACTGACACGCTATTGAGATGCCATCGAGTAGCCATTGGCATCGGTATAAATATCGGGAGTTGAAAATATATTACGTTTTTTTAGGAAAAAGATTTATTTGTTTTTATTATAATAAATTATTAAAAGAAATTAAAAAATCAAATAAATTTTTAAAGAATAAAATATAAAAATTATAAAAAAAGATACAAATAAATTTTTAAATAAAAAAAAAAAAAAAAAATCATTTCCTCTAAAACGTAATATATTTCAAATTATAAGGAATGACTTATTTGTTTAAATATTTTTTTATTTTATTTTTAAAAATTATTTTTTTTTTTAATAATTCATTAATAATTTATTTATTTTAATTTATTTATTATTTTAATAATTATTTTCATTTATTTATTTCTTTATTCTTTAATTATTATTTTTTAAAGTATTTTAATTTATTTCTTTCTTTTAATTAAATTTATATAATAAAAACAAAAAAATAATTTCCTCAAAAAACGTAATATATTTTCAACTACCGATATTCATACGAATGCCAATGGTACTCGATGGCATCTCAATAGCGTGTCGTGGTATGACACGGGCTTGGCGTAAATAGCAAAATTTGAGGCCCAGGTATTTGATCGTGTCGGTAGAAGTTTTTGGGATGGACAGTTACAATTAGGTGTGCGTTGTAAACAGGTGTGTGTTTTTGTAGATTTAAATGGTGTCTTCGGTTGAGATGAGGAGTTAATGGGCATGTGAGATGAGACATTCATAGATGGTGTGAACCCATTTAGAGTTTTCTAACAATCGCACGTTAAACATGTTTAAAAATGATGTTTTTCTTTAAATTAATTATACGAGTTTACGATGTACCAGTTTACGTCTATTTTTATCTACGCAACGGGCTATCGAAAGTACACCCGCAGTGAAAAAAAATTTATCACTAAAATAAGAACGAAAAATATCATAGTCAGAGGGTAGTCAGTATCCACCACAGACTGCAGCAAAACCCGGGTTTTAAAACGCAATAAGGTGAACCCAAATGATGAAAAGGATCACCTACAATAAGAACAAAAAAGATCCCTAGTCAGAGGGTAGTCCCAAACATCACAGGGCTGTAGCGAAACTCGGTTTAACACCGATAAATTACTAATCACTGATTATTAAAAATGGATCACCTAAAATAAGATTAAAAGAGATCATAGTCAGAGGGTAGTAGTCAAGCACCAAAGACCTTAGCGAAACCTGGGGTTATGGGTTAACACCCAATAAGGTGATCACTGGTGATGAAAAATGGACCACCTACAATATAAACGAAAAAGATCATGGTCAGAGGGTAGGCAAGCATCACAGACTGTAGCTGAAACCCGAGTTAACACGCCATTAGGTGATGTTGTGTTTATGGTGATCGATTCGGCTCTCTACCAACAATGGCTAGCAATAAATTGAGAAAAGAACGACGAGAAAGAACCATACACATCTTTGGCCAATTAGCAACAATTAAGATAAGCGTGGTTGGGAGGTGTAAATGCTTTCACCATAGTCCTGATAGGCAGATGAACTTAATACACCATTGATTACATTGGAATCTATTGGTCATCAATGATATTAAGTTATGAATATTCTGATTTCAATAATACTCGTATTGTATTGGATTCTTAAATAATCCCATCAAATGATCTTAAATAATTTTCGATTATATTAGATGTACATAATCGAATTATTTTTATCTATAAATAATTAAATTCGTATTATAGTTTCAGCAGCAGATGTAATTCATTCATGAACTATAAATATTTTTAATCTTTAAATCCCCAAAAATTCGACAGCACCGTCACCGAATAAAAGTGGCCACATGTACAAATAGCACATATAAATATATTATATCATAATCATCATCATCACCAACAGCTCACAACAGTCCACTGCAGGATATAGGCCTCTCCTTAGAAAGTAGGTTTTCGCCTACTACAGCACGCCAGCCACACGGGTGGGTTATAATTAACATACATGAAATTAAACTTTGAATTTCTCATAATTAAACTTTATTTTAAATTTATTTTAATTTTCACTTTATTTTTATATAAAATACGAAGAAACTTAAACGAACTACATGAAATTTTAAAATTTGAATTTCTCATAATTAAACTTTATTTAACTTTATTTTAATTTTCACTTTATTTTTATAAAAATACGAAGAAACTTTTTCCTTGACCTTATAATATTTAAATTCACATCACACACATCGCCAGCCGTTAATAGTCCATTGCTGGACACAGGCGCCCCCTTAAAAGGAGGTATTGGTCTACTATTCCAGCCAGACGGGTTGGTACAGGGTTTGTGTGTCAAGTATTCCTTCTCTTTGCAGTGCTGTTGTCGCGTAGTTTGTTTCGCTTAACGGCTCTTATGACAGCCACAGGATGAATGGGGGTGGTTCCGCTCCCGTTTTATTTATCTGTCACCACACCCGGGGTTTTTTGTGATTATACAGTTTAAATAAACATTTTAACCTTATCTTTCAGGACACTTTTCTATCATATTATGTACAACAGCTACATCTTTCTTTGGTTATGCCGCCTTCTTGGACAAGGTGAAGCACCATTTACAATCATTTTCCAATGACGACGTAAGCATAATTTAATTTATGTATAAGCTTAGTCCTTACAGGATGAAATTGAAAGTAATTTCTGAATTTAAGTTCTGTCGTAAAACTACAACAGTGGCATGTAATCCAATACCAATGTAATATGTAACGAATATTATATTATGGTCATAATGTGTTAGTAAGAAAATTTTTGTACTTCTCCATACTTAGAATTACCATTCTGTTATTTCTTTTGACAGTTCAACTTTATATTGGTCAACACTAGTGCCTCAACAATCTACTGATTCGAAAAGTATGATTGTTTTTTTTAGCGAGATATTTTAGTGTTATTTATCAAAAAAAAAGACTTTTTGTAACTATAGACAGAAGGCATTAAATTATTTAGAAATATTGGATGTCTACTCATAATATTCAGAAGACCTTTTCCCTCACTTTTGCGTAACATAATAATCTTTTTATATCTTACAAAACAGTAACCTAATGTTAGGAACCGGATCCAATTCGGGGTAGTACAATTTATTTTATGTGCATAGACAGTTCGTTCAATTTCAAAACCTAGTATTTTTAACACTTTTTTTAAAACGAGTGTTTTTTGCATTTTTCGACATTATAGAACCCCCTCTCCACATACTAGGATATCAAAAAACTCCGAGAAATAAACGAAGTTAAATAAATTGAAAACCTAGTTTCTAAAACAAAAGTTTTCAAAGTGAAACAATTAAAAGCTTAAAACATAGTACCTAACCTCAACCATTTTATAAACCTAGTAATTGTATGCAGTTAATAGGTTACAAAAGTGTTTATGTAGAAACAAGGTCAATGTAATGGTTGAAATAAACGTCAAAACTCTCGCTCAAACTTTAGTAAGTGAGATGACGGTCGTTGCCGCTCATGTTGTTGTTAAGAAAAAGAGTAAAAATCATCAATCAATAATTATGAGTGCTTTAAAAGATTAACATGGTGAAATGTAAGGTAAGCTTTAGTGTATAATATTGTCAGGTTTTTGTATTCCTGAGGTTTTTTATGTCCTAACCTTAAAATAATTACACAAACATGACATGAAATTTGTTGGTAACTGCAAGATTTTATGAAAATGGTGCTTACTGTAAAGTTTAGTTTTGCAAGATACTGGGTTTTGATATTTCACAGTCGAGTTGGCCAAGCTTACAACAAACGGAACTGCCTTAAATATTTATTTTATCTTTTGTTAATGTGATAAAACCGTCAACAACAATTTTTCTTCCCATGTACTGAAGTTAGCAAATTAATTATATAGCAAATAATACTAGATGGATGCCACTTGTTGATGCATATAATGCATATTAGTTCAATGAGTGTTATATTTTCTCCTGTTAAAGCTACCCGACAGATGTTCTGGTGCCAATGGATGACATCTCATTTCCTTTGTAAATAATTAGTAAGTAGATTTAATTTATTTAAATAGTTCTAGAAAAGCATGAAGAAAGAATCCGAAGAAATTCAGGCCGAAAACAAGATTTTATCTCGGAAATTCGAGTATAGGGGAAGGTGTTGTACCTATGAACGGTTTTACCTGTGGACATCATTGATATTTCAAAAAATAAACACAGAAATTTAACGAATTTAAACGCATCCGTAAAGTATTTTTACAACGTTACAACGTTTTTAGCAACGTTGACTTGCTGCCATTTGTGATCTTTTGTTGTGTGACCGGTGACAGACCGTTAAGGGTTTTCGCTCAAAAAAGTAAGTATTTGTCTCTTTTTCGTCCTATTTTTTTGTGAACATATGCAGAATATAGATGATTATTTTTAGTCATACTGTAGTACATGTAGTTAACAATCCATTTACATCGGTATAACGGTGTAAACTAGTACCTATCATGCCGGTAATAGATTTTTAGGTTGTATTGTCTGATTTGTACCTGTGGACATCGAAGTGTATGTACCTATGGACTGTCCACAGGTACAAATTTTTTTTTCATTTTTCAGTGTCTCGACGGAAAAACGCGCCGTAGGTGTGTTCAGAGACGTTATCTGAGGCAATTAAGAGCAATTAGTGGATGTTCATTGCGAAAAGTTGCAGAAAAATATAAAATACCAAAATCTACGATATTTAAATACCTTCACATGAATAAGGAGAATGATCTGAGCGAGAACAGGGTAGTTATTTTGAGGAAATGACGTGAGAAAGTATTTGATGAGGAAGAAGAAAAACAGCTTGCAGAATATTTAGATAAAAATAAAAATTCAATCTGCAGAAAAAAGGGTCACAATTCTTCAGATGACCAGTTACCCTAAGCCATGTGTATGGGATGTAAAAAGACATGAAAATGTTTACAAACTGCTCAATTGCTCTCAAGCGATTTGAAATATCACCAGAAATGTGTATCAAGATCACATTTAGATAATTTTGAATCAGTATGATGAGTCAGACTTCTTATATCAAAAGTGTTATATTTAGATGATGGTTATTCAGATGCCTCTGATGATTCTGCCTTAGAACTATATCAAAATTATTTAGATGCCAAAACCAAAAAGAATAATTGATTCTTTAATGTTAAAGTTGATTTATAAAGATATTCTATTTATTTTTGCTGATTTTTATAGGATTATTATGTAAGGATAAGTGATCTGTCCATAGGTACATTGCCGTCCATAGGTACAAGTATTTCTGTCCAGAGGTACAATCATAAGATGTACCTGTGGACAAATTTAGTGATTTAAAAAAAACTGGTTTATTTTAATCAACATAATTCGTACAAAACTAAAGACTGCTAATTTTTAAGTGTTAACTAATCCTGGAACAACATTTGTAATACTTTACGGCTAATAAATAACAATTAATTATTAAACCATATTTTCATTCAAAATCCGGCAAATGTCCACAGGTATAACACCTTCCCATACATCCCCTTACATCCTGCACCTAGTGTGAGATAGCTAAACTACTTAGCAATATCGATATAGAAGGATGCGAGTAGGTTTATGCGTAGTATTTTATTTATTTACGCGTTTTTGCGAGGAGTATTTGTTTTGTAGGTGGAAAAAAGTTAAGTAAGGAACAATACCTCCTTTTTGTATTTGCTCCATTTTTTTTTACGTGTGGAACGGGCCGTCTCCCTACCGGGGTTTGCGTCGGGTGGTTGTCGGAAACGGACCGACTAAAACCACATGGTGGCCACTCTGCGCCTGTAATAGGAGGATAGCGGGAACTGCTGTTATTAAGACATCCGGACCTTTGTATTTGCTCCTTGGGTTACCCTCTGGCAACTGGCTATGTGTTAGTGCATAGACTCTTTTACAAAAGCCCGAATTGGAATATCATATGATTTTCTGCAAAATAAATATATACATTTATGTTTCTATTTGCAGGCTGCCCATAATGTTCAAAGCTGGCATTTGTACAATGCTGTATATAACTCACGGCCTCAATTTCTGGGTACCTTTCAATCTTTGCTGGTATTACATAAAGAGCAGGTTAAACCAGAATAAGTTAATCTTTTGGGAAAGAATTTTTTCGAGTGTTGTTTGTTACTATGATTGGTACCGTCGGTATCATATTCCCGAGTATAACAGCTTTAATGGGGTTGGTAAGTACATTAATCTTACTACTACTATAGCTAACTGCTATCTATCATTAGTGAACGTCTAGTTTCCAGCTGCATTTTACCTAACTTAGCTTTTGGCGTTAAAGCGCATGCTTGTAACATGAATGGACTGTTAAATGCAGTGTTATTAGGCCCGTACTTTAAAAAAACGGTCTCAAGTATCGGTTGAAATCTGATTTTCTGAAATTAGTTTTAAGTGCAGATCAAAAGTTAAGCATCATAATAATATTATTATTATATTATCTTTATTAATTATATTTTACATATTAATTACATTTTTAAATATGTTACAAAAGAAATTATTATTATCATTATTATTATCCCGCAGCTATTTGAAAAATTTTATTTGAAAGAAATATTATTATTAAAGTTGATTTTAATTGAAACAAGTAATTGAATGTGAATTTAAGTAAAATTTTACATGAATTATGAAGGTGACATAGTTATCAAAAAAGTATCATCGTAAAACAATTTAATTTCCCCTAAACTCGAACGAATGCGAAAGATTTCACTCCTTAAGACTCCTCAAAGATTTTATAGCTTCCCTGTGAATCGAATCTTAAAAACTATTAAACTAAAACTAACTAGTTAACTGTTAACTGTTTTTAAGTTTCTATACTTAAAAACAGTTTTAAAATTAGATTCACGACTGAGACACCTCTTAAAATACGGGTTCGGAGTCTAGAAATAAGAGTGCACATATTATTGAATGTACTGAGCTTAGAGATTTTGACTGCCACTTTAAAGATATCGGATCAGATTTCTGCAGTGCAAATTTTTTGTGTACTTAAATATTTAATTTTGGATTTTTTGTTTTAAGTATGGAACTACATTCATTTATTAAAAGAGTAAAGTATTTTATCTGCATTCTTGAATCCATAGAATAATCTGTTTAGGTCTCTGTGAGTGAAAACATTACAGAAGCCCAACTAAAATTCAATGGAATGAAATTTTATGGAAGTTTCTAAGTGGAAACTAAAAAATATCCGTCCACCCTGTTGAAAAAACTTGTCCGTCGTGGGGTATTTTAAATTTAGGTCTTTTATAACTGACTTTTATGTTATACTTGCTGACCGGCGCAATTCCGTACGATTGTCCTTACAAACTTATTCTCATACTTACGAAATATACAAAAACAAGATTCATTAAAATCGGCCGACACGTTGCGGAAAAATTGCCAAAATAAAATATTATCAAAATTAGTCCAGCCGTTTTAAAGATTACCTGAACAAACAGACAGACATACAAAAATTTTTTAACTGGTTTTTAAGCTTAGGTATCTTCCAAATAACCGTGGGAACAAGAAAAAAACCTATTATTTTGTCATTAAAAACAGACACTAATTTTATTTATAAGTAAAAAAAATAAGATATCATTCTTCTTTCAAATACTGTAATTCATGATTTCAGATTGGCTGTTTGTGTTTAGCAAACATGGCCATAATTTTTCCCAATATTATAACACTATTTGTGGAATATGAGAGACCAGGCTATGGGGCCTTAAAATGGCGAATTTGGAGGTCTGTATTTTTATTTCTGTCGGTTTCATTGTACTAACCAGTGGTACCGCAGTAAATCTAAAATCACTTGTTAAGTTTTATTTGAGCCTCACGAATAGAAAAATCTGTTTTATATGTCCCATTTGTAACTAGATATTTCGACACCAGCATTCATACTAAGCTAACTAATAAAAGTTTGTACTGTACAGTAGAGGCTTATTAAGGGAAAAAACGTGAAAACTTTTATATTAATTAAGATACGCTATGATTTGCCATTGTTTTCGCGTGATTACAATCAGGCCAATACAAACTTCTTGCCATTAGCATTGCAGGCGACAATTGACTTTACTGCTTGCTGCTACTTTAGCCTTTCTTTTTGACGTGTTTACTATACTCGTAATCCTTTGTTACACAAACGTTTTTCTCTTCTTAATTCAAATTTAAGACATTGAGACACATATCAATCCTTTTTTAGATCTACGTATATAATTTTTTGCGGTCGATGCTTCAAATAATCACTATCCTAGAAACGTTGCAGGCGAGGAAATTCTAATACAGGGTACTCTCTGGGGCAACACTACTGTCTCGCCGATACTGAATCTGTTGTTATTGTGGTAGTTGATTAATTGTGAGTGTTCTATATTAGGTATCTTGATAAGAAATAAGCCTAAAGTATCGTTTAAACGTTATGATTTTTCCAAAAATCCAATAATTAACATACGGGGATATTATCAATACTATTACAAGTATCATTAGTGACGACTAAAAACAAGGGTTACTTGGTACAATGAATATCATTGAAGTCCTTTGTTGAATAAATATTACGTGAAGTATTAGGAGCCCTAAGTCGTTTAAATTTATAGCTTTATTAGTAATACTATTGACAATGTATTAGCTGCAGAACTGGATATAGAACAATCATGCTGTTGAATAGGTTCATCAATTGTGAAAGCCATAAAAAAATATTAGAAATAGATCAGGTATTATCAATAGACTAAGTAACACACGTTTTCATCGGTACTTATTAAATAATTCGCTAAGTAGTCTCATTTATTTTTTATAAAGAACCAGTATACACGAAAACATTAAACTTTCTTAGTGGTATGCGTACTGTTACATGGACCTTAACATGACCCCTTCCCGTGCACAATCGGCTGATATGTTAACAGTTAGCGTAATTTAAATAGACTGATTTCAAAAAATGCCTTTACTTACCTTAGTACCTATATTTGTATATTTCTGGACGCTTTTTTTACATTAAAAACAACACATCATTTTAAGCAATTTGGTGAGTTAGCCTAGTATAAAATGTTGGTGTCGGTTTGTCTGGCTGTACCTGAATAGTCGCCCGGTTACTTTTTCTTTGTGTACCCCGAATATCAAGAGTATGGACTAACGCGGGATTTTCTTTACCCCGAAGTCGAAAGTCGGGTTTTAGCGATATGTTCTTCAGTAAATAATGGTTTAAATCTGATTCTATTGTATTATTAAATTTCATAAAATCAAAGTTATTCAGTCAGCGGTGTATTTTTTGATATGTAAGCTTTGTTTAGAAATGTTTATTGTATTGAAGTAATAAAAGTAATTTTAAAAAAAAATATCACTTGCTTTTATTTATTACACGTTTGCCAATACCCTTAAACTCTCTCAAATAGGTAAGTGTGTATTTTATCTGTAATTGCATTTGTCTGGTAATATTTAGGATGTAATATAATGTAAAAATAATAAATCGAAAATTTTCACCGCACATGGCGCGTTTAATGACGCATCCCAACACCTACACTGTTTTTTTGTTTAAGTTTGAATCCATCATTTATTTAACCCTATTGAGTTTTTATCGTTTTTATTACTCTTAATCCAATGATAAATGGTGAGGAATATTAACAGTATGACAATCAAGAAAATAAATCCTGTTAGTAACATTGGTGTTACCACGAGTCCGCAATGGAAATAACAGGTATATCTGGGGAAAAAAAAAAACGGTCAGCTGTTTTTATATCTTCCGAAGTAAACAACAGTCTCGTTTAATTTATTGGCATAAAAACTTAAAATAAAAACATTTGATAGCTAATTTTATTAGTTGCAGGATGATGAAAATAACTAGATACTACCATCCAGAGTGTCGACGTAAGGTCTGCATTCCCGGAACTGTGTAAAGATTTTGTATTAATGTGCCACAAACACACCATTAGCGTTATTAAAAAAAAAAACCAAAAAAAGACCAATGCTCCACTTGCAGTCTTTACGGATAAGCTGATTCTGTTTGACAAGCGACATTGCAAGATAAGTATGACAAACACCAAAGAAGCAAAGACCGAGTACGTCAAGTTAAAAAAAAGAGAAGGTATTAAATATTCCACAATCTGCAGTTGGAATATTTCATTATAGAGGAAATATTCTATTTAAACTTTACTATTTTTTATAAAAAGTCACTACTATGTCTGGCACCACACAATTGCAAAAAGAGGAGCAATAGAAATAGGAAGCTGGCTATGGCAATTTTTCTTAAGTGAGAAGGAAAGAGGTATTAAAAACATTTCTTCTTATTCAGATGGTGTGCAGGACAGAACAAAAACAGATTTATATTTGCTTTATACATTTTTGCTTCTTAGAAACTTCTAATAAATTTAATACATAGGTTTTTCGAAACAGGCCATGGCCAGAGTGAAGGCGATTCCATGTACGGGTTGTAGGCATGATATACACCCGAACAGATGTATGCAATCATTATGAATGCTAAAGTCAACGGCGAAAAATTATTGTGAAGGAAATGAGTATAAAGTGAGTTCTTTTCAGTGTGTTGATAAAAATTAAGAACTGGGCAAATAATTAAGAAGGAAATAATTTGGTCTAAGGTAATGTTTTACATTCATAGCCATCGATTTCTACGCTTTCAATATCATTTTTATGTTGAGTATTCTCAAATTAATGTCGAACAGTGTAAATACTACAAAAGATGTGAGATTTTCAATTGAGTCGCTTATAGGGAACCTTTGCCACTAAGTAAGGCTTTACACGACGACCTTATGAGCTTGTGTAGATCGGAAGCGATCCCCGTTTTCTATCATGCCTTCTACGAATCTCTGACTTATGACAGTAGTAATTCTGAAGCCATAGATTTATTGGTAATGAAATCAGGACGACTAAATTTTTCTTGTGCATTTTAAGTCGTGAAATCTGATTACCATAACTTTATTTTATTTGCGTAACCAGAATAATAGCTCTAAGTTTTACTGTCTCGTCATTGATATCCCGTATGAACGAGAAATAAAATGGTAAGATACTATATTTTTTTATGGTTTAGCGTGGTAACCGCTATACGTGTCAGGCGGACTACTCACCGGCTTACCCAGCGGAGAAATACACGAGATTACCTCAGGGCGCCTTGTCGAAAACAGAAGGGTGTGCGTGTGGCACTAAGGACTCCTCAGAGAAAGCAAGTTACTCGTCGAATCAAAGGTGACGGGA